TTCATTTAGCTTTGGGAGGTGATTTGGTACTTAGGAGTGTGATCAGAATGAGTTTTGGAGGTTCGAAGCAGATTTAGGCTTGAATTGGCGAAGTTGATAATTTGGCGATTTCCGGTTGGTAGGTGGTATTTTGATATAGGGGTCAGAATGGAATTCCAAGAGTTGCAGTAGCTCCATTTTGTCATTTGGGATGTGTGTGCAAAATTTTAGGTCATTCGGACGTGGTTTGGTTGGGTTTTTGATCAAAAGAGGAATTCAGAAGATTTTGGAAACTTAGGCTTGAATCCGATGTGTTTTGGTTGGTTTGATATTGTTTGAGGTGTTTTAAAGATTGGTACAAGTTTGAATAAGGCTTTGGGATATGTTGGTGCCTTTGGTTGAGGTCCCGGGGGCCTCAGGTGAGTTTCGAGGTGTTGAATGGATCATTTTTATGTTAAGAAAGTTGTAGATTTTGGGTTCCAGCAGTTGCAGGAATTTTTGTCTTCGCGTTCGCGAGTGGACCCTCGTGTTCGCGAAGGATCAGGAAGGGAGGCGTCATATTTAGCTTCCGCATTCGTGAAGGGGAGTCGCGCGTTAGCAAAGGGCCGGAATAGTAAGCATCGCGTTCGCGAGAGCCTTGGTCGCGTTCCCGTAAGTTTGTGAGGCTGAGGCATCACGTTCGCGAAGAAGAATTTTGGTCAGTGGAATATTTGTGCTTCGCGAATGTGAGGTTTTGACAACATTCGCGAAGAAGGAATTAAGGACTGGGCGGAAGGTTTAAAAGGTCATCTTGTCCGCGAATGTAGGGTTTATTTCTTCCATTGTTGGTCGTTTTTGGAGCTTTTTGAAGGCGATTGAAGAGGGATTCGAGGGGAAACACTTGGAGGTAAGATTATTGGACTAAAAACTCGATTATTATGTCAATTCCACCTAGTAAATCATGGAAATTAAGCCAAAAATTGAAGATCTAGGGCTTGGAAATTTAGACCTTTGATTGAGGATTTGAAGGACCATTTGAGGTCGGATTTCAAAACTTTAGATATGTATGAACTCGTGGGGGGATAAGGAATCTATTGAGGTAAAAATTATTGAATTCCGAGATGTGGGCCCGGGGTCGGGTTTTGGTAATTTCGGGATTTGTTTCCTTTGTTAATTGTTTTCGCTTGGGCTTCATTCCCTTAGCATATTTTGACGTCCTCGTTTTGATTTTTGATAGATTCGACGTGAGTGGAGGCCGATTCAAGGGGCAAAAGTGTCGCGAGCTAGAGATTTGACCGGTTCGAGGTGAGTAATGATTGTAAATTATGTTTTGAGGGTTTGAATCCACGGATTGCACATCATAGTGCTATATTAAGGTGAGACACACACTTGATGATGAGTCTGGGGTCGTGCACTATTGGGGATTGTGACTTGGTCCATCCCGACTGATGATTTTACCGCGTATTTGACTGAAATCTATTTGGTATCATCGTTATTTGGGATGAATGCCATATTTGGGCTTTGTGCAAACTATTTGAACCCTTCGGGGATTTTTATTAATATTTTCTCTCTATTTTGACATTATACTTGAACTCAGTCATGTTATTTTCCACTATTTTACATACTCAGCCATGTTTACTCAGTTTTAATACTTAAATGATATTTTAAATGATGTTTGGGCTGAGAAACACTCTTTTACTATTGCCCGAATGGCTAGTGAGTACTTTGACTGAGTAAGGCCGAGGGCCTATGTTGTGAGGAAACACAGATATTGATTTGAGGTCGAGGGCCTGAGATATGTACGCCACGAGGTGGCTTCATTGATATGAGGTCGAGAGCCTAGTGTTGATGCCACGAGATGGCTTGTTATTGCGCTTGGGACGTAAGGGGTCCCTACAGGAGTCTGCACACCCCATAGTGAGCCTGGGTACCCATTGTGATATGAGATTTGAGCCTGAGGGTCTGGTATTGTTCGGAGATGTTGCCCGAGGGGCAGTTTTGTTGATACAATGCTCGAGGGGCGAACCTTTAAGTGTTAATTTTTCTTTAATTTCCTATCAATTATATGCTTACTTGTTAAAAAAGTATTTTACTTATCTTTTAACTAGTTTACTGTTTTAAGAGGTTTTACTGCGTCATTATAGAATGCCTTGTTTCTTACGTGTTTTCTCGCTTTCAGTCTTTATTTGCATTTGTTACTCACTGAGTTTTAGTACTCACTTTACTCCCTACACCCTGTGTGCAGATTCAGGCATAGCTGGTTCCGCTCCCGAGTGCTGATCTCTCCAGCTTCAGGCGAACATTCCGAGTTAACAAGGTAGCTACTTGGCGTCCGCAGTCCTGTGTTTCTCCTCCTTTGTCAATTCTATCTCTTTTCAGACAGTTGTACTAGTTTATAGCCTTAGCAGATTTGTATTATGACTTTTAGATGCTCATGACTAGTGACACCCCGGTTAGGACTGCGTTCGGTTGTACTTCCATATTTTTATGATATTATCTGCTACTTAGTATTATTAAATCATGTTTTAGACTGTTTTCATGTTCTTTAACTATTTAACATTGAATTAGGAATATCTGGCTGGCCTTGTCTTCACGAGAGGTGCCGTCACGACCGGGTCCGGGTTTAGGGTCATGACAAGTTGGTATTAGAGCCTAGGTTACATAGGTTTCATGAGTCATGAGGAGGTTTAGTAGAGTATAGCGGATCGGTACGAAGACGTCTGTATTTATCCTTGAGAGGCTGCAAAACCTTTAGGAAAAACTTCATATTCTTGAAATTCTTGTCTGGTGAACTTGTTGATCCGAGTGCTAAACTTCAGTTATTCTATTTTCTCACAGATGGTGAGGACACGCTCTGCCGGACAGGATGGACGACCACCAGTTCCACTAGCTGTGGCCACCAGAGCCCGAGGACGTGGCTGTGGTCATGGTAGAGGCAGGGCAACTAGGGCAGCACCTGTAGATCCACATATGCCCATTATGATACCCGGTCTTCAAGAGGCCTTGGCTCAGATCTTATCAGTTTGCACTAACCTAGCTCAGGTAGTTTCAGCCACTACAGCCGCAGCTACTTATCAAGTCGGGGGAGGCAACCAGACTCCCACCGCTCGCACACCTGAGCAGGTCGTGCAGGGACTTCAGACGCCAGGGCCACATTCATCCCAGCCGTTTGTAGCTGCTCAAGACTATGTAGTTCCTTCCATGCCAGAGGATGAGTAGCATAGGTTGGAGAGATTTGGTAGACTTCAACCTCCGACCTTTAGTGGTGCAGAGGGCGAGGATGCCCAGGGCTTTTTGGACAAGAGTCAGAGGATGCTTCATACAACAGGTATTCTAGAGACCAGCGGGGTCGCTTTCACCACATATTAGTTTTTAGGAGCTGCTTTCACTTAGTGGGAGGATTTTGAGAGGCGTATGCCTGTTGGTGCAGCACCCCTTTCCTGGCAGTAGTTCTCTGTTCTCTTTCTGGAGAAGTATGTGTTGCAGTCTCGCAAAGAGGAGCTGCCTAGTCAGTATGAGTGGTTGCGTCAGGGGGAGATGACCGTGTCGTAGTATGAGTTGACGTTCTCTAAGTTGGCTCATTATGCCATCTAGCTGGTTGAGACAGATAGAGAGAGGATTAGGAGATTTGTTAATGGTAGTACTTATCAGCTCTATATTCTCATGACCAGGGAGAGGGCAACTGGTGCTACTTTTGAGGAGGTTGTGGATATTACCCATGAGATTGAGTTTGTTTATCGCCAGGACCGAGAGGAGAGGGAGGCCAATAGGCCATCTGGTAGCTATAGTGGTGCTCCTTTGAGGGGTCAGTTTGAGCACGGCAGAAGCCACCCATTCAGATCTACTCAACCAGCTCGCCCAGGTTATCGTGGGGCGCCATCAGGTCATGGTTCTCACAGTTCTCATCAGGGCCAGTCATCACTTAGTGCCTTTCTAGCTTAGAGTTCCTCCCATGCTCCATCAGTTCAGGGATATTCTATACCGAGTGCATATGCTAGTCACTCCGGTGCGAGGGTTCCCTTCAGTCCCCTTCTCTAGCACTTGGGATTTGTTATGAGTATGGAGAGATAGGTCACATGTGGGGGCAGTATCCACGTCATTTTGCTAGTTCATCCCAGTAGAGGAGTCAGTCATCGGCTTTAGCGCCAGTTGCTTCATCACCACCCACCTAGCCAGCTAGGGGTGGGGGTCAGTCAGTTAGAGGCCATCTTAGAGGGGGAGGTCGATCAGGTGGCGGTCGGCCCGTTTCTATGCACTTCTAGGAAGACCCGATTCTATTGCTTCAGATACTGTCATTACAGGTATTGTTTCAGTCTGCCACAGAGATGCCTTTATACTATTTGATCACGTTCAACATTTTCTTATGTGTTATCATACTTTGCTCGTTATTTGGGTACACCTTGTGAGTTTCTTGCTTTACCTATTCATGTATCTACCCCAGTGGGCGATACTATTGTTGTAGACCGCATGTACCAGTCATTTGTGGAGACTATTTGGGGTCTGGAGACCCGAGTGGATTTATTATTATTGCGCATAGTGGATTTTGATGTCATTTTGGGCATAGATTGGTTATCTCCATGTCGTGTTATACTGGACTGTCATGCTACGACAGTCACCTTGGCTATGTCGGATGTGCCCCGGATCGAGTGGCGAGGGGTGACTGATATGTTCGTAGTAGAGTGATCTCTTTCTTGAAGGCCCAGCGTATGGTTGGGAAGGGTTGTCTTTCGTATCTAGCGTTTGTGAGGGATGTCGGTGCTGAGTCTCCTAGTATTGATTTTGTTCCAATTGTGAGGGATTTTCCCGATGTGTTTCCTGCAGACCTATTAGGCATGCCACCGGATAGGGATATTGATTTTGGTATTGGCCTAGTGCTGGGCACCCAACCTATTTCTATTCCGCCATATCGTATGGCACCAGCGAAGCTGAAGGAGTTAAAGGAGCAACTTCAGGAACTCCTTGATAAGGGGTTCATTTGGCCTAGTGTGTCACCTTGGGGTGCGCCGGTTCTATTTGTGAAGAAGAAGGATGGCCCAATGAGGATGTGTATTGATTATAGGCAATTGAACAAGGTAACAATTAAGAACAAGTATCCCTTGCCTCGCATTGATGATCTATTTGACCAGCTTCAGGAAGTGAGAGTGTTCTCCAAGATTGATCTCCGTTCAGGTTATCACCAGTTGAAGATCAGGGACTCGAATATTCTTAAGATGGCTTTCAGGACCCGATATGGTCATTATGAGTTCTTGGTGATGTCTTTTGGGCTGACCAATGCCCCAGCAACATTCATGCATTTGATGAACAGTGTGTTCCGACCTTATCTCGACTCGTTTGTCATAGTCTTTATTGATGATTTTCTGGTGCACTCACGTAGTCAGGAGGAGCACGCGGAGCATTTGAGAGTTGTGTTTCAGAGATTGAGGGAGGAGAAGCTTTATGCAAAATTCTCCAAGTGTGAGTTTTGGCTTAGTTCAGTGGCTTTCCTGGGGAACGTGGTGTCCAGTGAGGGTATTTAGGTTGATCCGAAGAAGATAGAGGTGGTTTAGAGTTAACCCAGACCGTCCTCAGCCACAGAGATTCATAGTTTTCTGGGTTTGGCAGGCTATTATTGCCGGTTTGTTCATGGATTATCATCTATTACCTCGCCCTTGACCAAGTTGACTCAGAAGGGTGTTTCATTGTATGGTCGGACGAGTATGAGGAGAGCTTTCAGAAGCTCAAGACAGCTTTGACCACATCTCTAGTGTTGGTTTTGCCATCTGCTTCAGGTTCATATACCGTGTATTGTGATGATTCGAGAGTTGGGATTAGTTGTGTTTTGATGTAGGAGGGTAGAGTTATTGCTTATGCTTCTCGTCAATTGAATACCCATGAGAAGAACTACCCCGTTCATGATTTAGAGTTGGCTTCCATAGTTCACGCATTAAATATTTGGAGGCATTACTTGTATGGCGTATCTTGTGAGGTGTTCACTGATCATCGCAATCTTCAGCATTTGTTCAAGCAAAAGGATCTTTATTTGAGGCAGCGGAGATGGTTGGAGTTGCTTAAGGATTATGGTATCACTATATTGTATCATCCGGGAAAGGCCAATGTGGTGGTCAATGCTTTGAGCCGAAAGGCAGTGAGTATGGGGAGTTTGGCATATATTCCAGTTGGAGAGAGATCTCTTGTAGTTGATGTTTAGGCCTTGGCCAATCGGTTCGTGAGGTTAGATATTTCGGAGCCCAGTCGGGTATTAGCTCGTGTGGTTTCTCGGTCTTCCTTATATGATCGCATCAGAGAGCACCATTATGATGATTCGCATTTGCTTGTCCTTAAGGACAGAGTTCAGCACGATGATGCTAGAGACGTGACCATTGGTGATGATGGGGTGTTGAGGACGCAAGGCTGGATTTGTGTGCCCAATATGGATGGGCTTCGGGAGTCGATTATGGAAGAAGCCCATAGCTCGCGGTATTCCATTCATCCGGGTGCCGCAAAGATGTTTCAGGATTTGAGGCAGCAATATTGGTGGAGAAGAATGAAGAAAGATATTGTGGGATTTATGGCTCGGTGTCTCAATTGTCAGCAGGTGAAATATGAGCATCAGAGACTGGGTGGCTTGCTTCAGCAGATGGATATTCCAGAGTGGAAGTTGGAGAGGATCACCATGGACTTTATTGTTGGACCTCCACGGACTTTGAGGAAGTTCGATGCTATTTGGGTGATTGTGGATCGGCTGACCAAGTTCGTGCACTTCATTCCTATATGTAATACCTATTCTTCAGAGTGGTTGGTAGAGATCTATATCCGGGAGATTGTTCGTTTGCATGGTGTCCTAGTTTCCATCATTTCAGATAGGGGCACTCAATTTACATCGCAGTTTTGGAGGTCTGTGCAGCGAGAGTTGGGTACTTAGGTTGAGTTGAGCACAAATTTTTACCCTGAGACAGACGGGCAGTCCGAGCGCACTATTCAGATATTGGAGGACATGTTGTGTGCTTGTGTCATTGATTTTGGAGGGTCATGGGATTAGTTTCTACCGCTTGAAGAGTTTGCTTATAACAACAGCTACCAGTCAAGTATTCATATGGCTCCATACGAGGCTTTGTATGGGAGGTAGTGTAGATCTCTAGTTGGTTGGTTTGAGCCCGGTGAGGTTAGGCTATTAGGGACTGATATGGTGCAGGATGTTTTGGAGAAGGTGAAGGTGATTCAAAAGAGGTTTTGTACAGCGCAGTCAAGGCAAAAGAGTTATGCTGGTAGGAAGGTTCGAGATGTGTCCTACATGGCTGGCGAGAAGGTGTTTCACCCGTGAAGGGTGTTATGAGATTTGGGAAGAAAGGGAAATTGAGTCCGCGATTTATTGGGCCTTTTGAGGTGCTTCGGAGGATTGGGGAGGTGGCTTATTAGCGTGCTTTGCCACCCAGCTTGTCGAGCGTGCATCCGGTATTTCATGTTTCTATGCTCCGGAAGTATATTGGGGATCCGTCTCATGTTCTGTATTTTAGCACGGTTCAGTTGGATGATGATTTAACCTATGATGTGGAGCCAGTAACTATTTTGGATCGTTAGGTTCGGAAGTTGAGGTCAAAGGATATAGCTTCAGTGAAGGTGTAGTGGAGATGTTGGCTTGAGGAGGAGGCTACCTGGGAGACCGAGCGGGAGATGCGGAACATATACCCTCACCTATTTGAGGTTTCAGGTATGTTTCTTGACTCATTCGAGGACGAACGTGTCACACCTCCTTTTTCCGCGCCCGCGAGGGTGCAAGGGAGTTTTTTCCAATTAAAGGACAGTCGAAACGGGATTTATTTCTTTATTTCAGAGTCGCCACTTGGGAGATTTAGGGTGTCCCAAGTCACCTATTTTAATCCCTAACCGAGGAAAAGAATGACTCTGTATTACAGTCTGCGCACCAGAAATCCGGATAAGGAATTCTGTTAACCCGGGAGAAGGTGTTAGGCATTCCCGAGTTCCGTGGTTCTAGCACGGTCGCTCAACTGTTATATTCGGCTTGATTATCTGATTTTATACAAATATGGACTCATGTGCAAGTTTTATCTTTTTACCGCTTTCATTATTATATTTTTTAAAGAATGTGAACATCGTTTAAAAACATGTCTTTGGATTGGGTCACATAAAATGCATCCACGATCCGGAACGTATTTTTATTCAATGTTTTGGGATTTGGATTTGGGTCGCATAAATGCATACCCGTGTTTAAGAATGTATTATTATTATATCGCGCCTAAAGCAATTAGCGATTTATTACTTTGGGGTAGGGCCGTGAAATTTGCTAAAACGACTCCTCCTTAATTCTAAGCAATTAAATGTACATTTATTGAGGGCCCCGCAATCTATACATTTTATTAAGCGAGGCTCAAATCATTTATTTTCCTAAATGGGTAAATCTTAAAGCGACTACATTTTGCTATTTAAAATTAGTCTCTAAAATGAATAAAGAAAATCCTAATTAATTACGTTTTT